CATCATTGATCGCGGCGCCTGCAGTGTTGGCGGCGGCTAACAACAACAACAGCATCATCATCATCAACAACAACAACGACGACAACAACAATAACGCAACAACAACAACACCAACGACAACAACAATGGCCACAATGACAACAACGACGGCAACAGCATCAACAACAACAACTACTTCGTCGTCAGCATGGTGGGTGAGAGGCCGGGATCTGACGTAGACAGGGGGAAGGGGATTGGGGCTGAAATAAAGTGGTGTTGTATCTTTCCCCCATCCAATCCTGATATGGGATTGCTTCTTGTTGTCCGGCTCAGGGCGGGGGTAGGATAGTTGAAGTTGATTGAAATTGCCCGACCTGCAATTTCAATCAAGAAGGTCGGTGTCATGATGGAAATACGGTTGAGATGGTTGTTAACGTGGTTAGGGTCTCCCCCTCGGATGACATGTTTTCATTTGATAAACATAACATAGACAAGTTTTGGTGATGGTCCCCAACTGGAGGTGGGTAGTTTAGGGTTTTGTGCCTTGCTTTGACTTCCTTGTTTGAGGATCGTTGAAGATGCATTTTGTTAAGACAATACTTCATGAGCTGGAGGTCAATCCTTCCCTTACGCAGGGAAGTAATCAATGCCTCGGCGCTTTTCTGAGATGTAGGCGCAAACACATAATAGGGAGGCTGGTCCCGAATTTCAGCTTTTACACATCACATCAATGTTATGGCTTCGTATCACGGTAGAATGATATTTCCTCATATCACCGAATAGGGATGCTGGACCCGATTTCCACCTGATACACATCATATCTTGTACAGGGACGCTGGACCCGACTTCCAGCAGGTGCAGCTCCCCACCAATAGATGGAGTCTCCGACGCAGGGGCCTACTCACCGGGGCTGCTCTTATCACCTCGTTAAGTAGGTTTTCCCATATGCGAAGTTAAAAAAAAAAAAAAAGGAAAAAAACGGAAAAAAAAAAACGTTTAGAGCGCGAAAAAAGTGCCGCACCGATTCGTTGCATTTTCCAGTTTTGCCACTCGACAACTTGTGGCCCAACGGAAAAAGAACCCCACTTCTGCGATTTTTTGCGCTCAGAAGAATGAATGAAAAGCTCTGAAAATTGGAGGGTCCAGGAAAAATATGAAAAAAAAAATAAAACAAAATTGTTTCGACCGGGAAATAAATCCCGGTGGCAATTCGACGCATTTGCCATTTTTGCCACCCAGCCGGTTCTTCCCACGGTGCTACCGGCAGGCTTCATGAACCTGTCCTACCGGTCCCCCCGAATTTGGGACGGCGAGGGGAGTGGTGGTTTCATGCTGCTCATTCTAGGAGCACACAAGGGAGCGGGGGAAGGAAATGGGTAGGAGGCAGTGTTCTAGAGGGAGCGAGGGGCACGGGAGGGGGAAAGGCCAGGGGAGGGCGAAAGGTTAGGGAAGGAGGTGGAGTGGCTCTGTGTGTAAGTGCATGAATGTGTTTGTATGTGTGTGTAAGAGTGGGAGGGAGGGTTGAGTGGTGGTCCCCACAGTAGTGTCCTAACTGCTGCTTACTGTCCCTATACGTCAAATGCAGCATCCACAAAAGATATAACAGAGAATCCATAATACAGCTGTCGTACCATTCGTCACCTGTCGAGGGATTCTCTTCGACCAAATGATGACAGAAGCCGCAGAACTATATAACAAGCAATTTACAGTGTTATACAGAGAGAAAAGAACTCCATGAAAGTTCTTAATAGTGGCCAACAACACTCTTCGGACAAACCGGTCCGCCTTCTCCTATGCGTACTCCGCATCACCTCTTGAGTACCTCACTTGAGCGAGCTAGGCGAGTTTGGTTGCTAGATTTGCTACACTACCCGACCATCTTTGCCCATGTGAAAATCCCAACCCACTTTCATCAAATGCCGCGTTGACATCAACGATGGTCAGCTGCACACGACAATGTCAATCTGTGTATCCAATTGCTTTCATGCAAACTATATATCATGTGTAAAAAAGAAAAAGAAAAGAAAAAAAACTATGTATCATGACTGTATCAGGACTGTAGATGATCCTGTGCAATATCAAACCAAGAAGTTTGGACATGAACTAGTCCGGTCTCCAAATGCTTCGCCTAGCGCTGGCTATGTTGACATAACATGGATGGATGATTTAGGAGGAGGGGGGGAGAGGGGGGGAACTACTATATCGCTACTCGTCGACAAATTTATAGCTTGTTGAGGAGATAACAGTGTTGCCTCCTTGCTCATTCACTTATAAAAGTGTGGTGAGGCTCACTCATGGCCTGGCATGAAAAGCAACGGCAGCCTTCCAAAATATGAGTCACTAATCAACATACTATACTGGCACTAGTCCAATCCAAATTTGTAGCACAGACACACTCATGGCATGAAACTCCCCCACAGCCCTCGAGCATCAATGATGTGGCTGAGGCAAGCTCGCACATGGCGAGCTGCTAGACCTTTACCACACAAAAAGTCAATCACCATTCTCTCAGTTGGAGAGATGAGGGCCAATAGTCAAGACGCAGAAGCCTCCCTCTGCACACGCATACTCCAATTGTCATTCTTCTCATTACGTACTGCAGACGGCACACTCTCTTCAAATTCAACAAAACCAGGGACATCCCTCTCACAGGCTGCAAAACATCGAGCAGTGTGAACTTGTGAATACAACATTTTGAATGTGGGCACAGTTGCATTTTCCATAATCTGCCTTCAGCCCGTTTCCCATCTCTCTCTTGCTCTCTCTCACACACATCACACACTC